AAAACTCCTTGTGCTTTCTCGGAGTCATCTAGCAAGTCATCTGAGCTAAAAATGCAAGAAGAGTACACCAAAATAGAGCTTTTTGGAGTTCAGGTCACTTATATTTACTTGGCCTGGAGATCAGCCAAAAGCAAAAACAGAATGGAAGAAATGCTGATTGCAACAAAACTCACTTCCTGAAGATACTATAAAGGGCAAGGATGGAAAACAGCGAGCTTTCTCTCTTGATTTAAGCAGAGAATAAATTTCTTCCTGTCCTAAATCCTCACACATCCTTTGTAACAGCAAGGGAAAGCAGGTTGCATGGGGTAAACTCAGAGATACAGAAAGCTGTTGAAAAAACAAAGCTGTAAGGCTGCTGCTTGAGCATCCCGGGGAGTTTGCTTCTTGCCTGATCTTTGCAGGTGCATGACAGGAGGATGCTGGTGTCTCCTAGAGATCTGCCCCGCATCTCAGGCTGATGCTGGTGGAGTGGGGCAGCTGCCAGCCCTGTTGCACCAGCCGGTCTTTGCTGTCTTTATGTTTGAGCAGACACGGGCAGTTTCCATTACACACAGCGGCGGGAATGCCTGCTGCAACACCCAGAGGATCCACAGCCCGGCAAGGTGAGGGCCAGCTCTGGTTGTGACTTCCCTCTGGGAAGTCGGGTGCCCTGGATAGGAAAGGGAAAAGGGAAGGCACCCAGGAAATCCTGGTGCCTGCTCACAGTTTCTGGGTAAGAGCACCTCCTCTGCCCTCTCCGGTGGCTAAGGTATCACCAGCTCTTTGCAGCGCTTCACTCAGTATTTTCACTAAATTCATGGGAAAGTTGTTGTCTGAGACCCCAGCCCTCTACCAAACTTCCCTCATAGGAGTCAACGGAAACATAATAGGGGAAAAACACGCAGATGCATGCAGAGTCTGCATGTGCAAGCTGTGTTTTTGCTGGAGAGTGAGATGAGCCAGAGCTCCTTCCTGCCAAGCTCTCGGGAGCCTCCTGTGCCAGCTGCCCCTTCTGCCCATGGGACCGAAGTGTGGGTTGCTGCAGCCCAAAGCCGGGGCTGGGATAGTGCAGGTGACAGCCACAGTCCCCTGCCAGGGGACCTGGTGTAGCATCCCTCCTCACCAGGCTCCCATGTCCCCAGGCAGGAGCTGTGAATGCGACCAGGGCCTGGAAACAGCGCGGGGGAGAGTCAGAGATGATTGAAGGGCTGGGAGGGAGACTTGCAGGAAATGTGAGAGAGTAAATCAGTCGAGCTTGCCTAAGTTATGACTAAAGGGGAAGCGTGATACATCTGCAAATATTAGAAATGTGTAAACAGAGAGGAGAGAGAGAGATGGTTTATGGAATGATTGAAGGGAATGAACTTTTGGATGGAAAAATGTAGGTCAAGTATGAAGGAAAACTTGTAGGCAGTGAGATAAGTGTTTTCAGTGGTAAAACAACCTCCTTGGGAAATGCGAGGAAACCCCATTGATGGAGATGTCTGACGTGAAGCTGGATGAGGGCCTGGAAAACAGGCTGAGCTGGAAGGATGGACTCGGTGTGTCCCATGTGGTCCCAGCGCCCTTGGGGCTGGCAGACAGGGCTGGGCACACCAGCGGTACCCATCCGGGTCCGTGCGGGCTGTGCTGGGCTTCGGGGATGTCCCCTGGGGCAGCTGGGTTGGGAGGACAGGTGACCTTGTCCTTAGGGAGCAGTTACCCTGCGGACATCGCTTGTGAGGGCCCACGTGCAGCACTTCTGTGTCCCCTTGGCACCGGCGCGTGGTTCGGGCCCCGGGGAAGCATGAGGCAGCAGCCTCGCACCGGTGTTCACCCCAGGGAGGGGAGCACCCACCCCTGGCCCCACGCGCTGCTGTGGCTGTCGGTCATGTTGCAGACTGAATCCCTTTCCCGTTTGTGACTCGTTTCAATTTTCAGGCTGTTTGTGGTGTAGTTAATGCAACCAGTTTTCAATGCGGAAAACTTAATGAGTTTGGGGAGAATTCATCCCACCCAACTTCTGCCGTTTAAAATTCAAGCAGCTAGTTGACGCTGGCTGTCAGAAATCCCCTGCAGTCAACAGGGAAAGAGAGCAGCAGCTCCAACCCCCTCACCATTGGGTGCTCGGGGTACTTCGGTGCCTTAGAGGATTGCATTGTTCGCAGCATGCCCTCTTTCTGTTGCCTATGAAGGCAGCCCAAATAACGAACTCAGGTAATTACTAATAATTAAAACAACAACTAATTTTTAGAAGACTGAAATTAAGGAAATTCACCCCACCCCAAATGCCTTAAATCTCCAATAGGCCTGAAAGCTCTTTGGAAAACACGTTTCGTAGCAGTTTCCACGGGAGTGCTTGCTGGGGGCAGGTCTGTGTGCCTGCCCAGCCGGGCGGGCTGCGGTGGGATGCCCGAGCCCTCTCAGCAGGGAGAAGGGGAGGGCATCGCCTTCAGCCAGGCGAGCCAGACCCCCTGCCAGCGGGGTGCCCCTGCCTGCGGGGCGGCTGCCCACTCTCCTGGGGCTTCATGGCTTGGTATGTCCCTCCCAGAGGCATCCCCATGTTTCGGGCTGTCACGTAGTGTGTCTTTGCAGGTGCGAGCTCTTTGAGGCAGGGACCTCTCCGGTTTGTTCCAGATTACGCGTGTCTGTAGTCACGTGTAAATAACAGCATTGTGTCAGGGAAGGGACTTGGCAAGTCCTCGGTCTGAAGGAAGGATACATCCTCTCTGGCTAAGTCCCAGACAGTCGGTGGATGGTTTGGAGTCTGTTTTATACCTTCTGTTTCTCCGTCCCGTCTATCATAAGGTGTCAGTGTCCACTGAGACATCTAACCCTCCTTTATGCCCTATTGAAGTCCCAGGCAGAGCAGTGATAGATGCTGCTTTCTCAAAGGAGAAAAGCTCATTGCACTTGCAGAGCATCATGTTCCACCCCGCTGAGGGTTCTTCTGTGTCCTCCTCGCTGTTCCACCACCGTCTTGCTCCCAGCACTGTCCCCAAGGGAGCGGAGGCTGGTGCGGAGGACACGTGTTGTGGCTGGGGCTGTGGCATCTCTGGAGCACGGGCTGTGCTCGCCCTGCCCATCTCCCCTCCTCCTCCTCGGCCTGGGGGGAATCCGCTTGGGCAGATGCATATCCAGCCCTCAGAGCTCTCTCTCCCAGTTGTGTCCTCGCAGCCTGATTGCAGTCAGTCCCTTCTCTGGAGCCGTTCCACTTTGTCTAAGTAATTAAGATCCAGCGGGCCAGGGAGAAAAAGCAGGACCACAGCTGAATTTCCCACATCTCAGCTGAAAGCCCTGACCACAGGGCTATTGACTGCTCTGAAAGGCTTGCTCCATATATTGTGTCCTGGTCCTGATTAAACTTTTTGTGATGAAAGTTTCACCAAAACTAACATGCTTCCATTCTGGTTTTCATGATTTGGCATTTTCCAGGGGAAAAAAAAAAAAAAAAAAGAAACTAAAATAACTTGCCAAGAATTTCTCAACCAGCTTTAATCCTGAGACACTACCATGGTCCAAACAAATGATGATAAGGATCTATGGAAACATGGGGAAACAAAGAAGTGATGTTTTTAAAGCCTTCAGAAAATAAAAATGCAGCTGGAAGGAGGAGCGTGGGGTTTTCTCCAAGCAGGCTGAGGAGGGAAACTCATTCCCTTTGAATCGTGGGGAGTCCTTTCTAGTTGGTTTCAAAGGAAGTTGGATGTGGTCGTTAACATGACCTTAACTCTGTCACTAGTGCCTAGAAATATTCATAGAAGAGCTGGAAGCGCCACGGAGAGTGCTGCTCTTCCCAGCGGTGTCAGGGGTTTCCAGCAGCCTGAGGAATGACTGCTCGCCATGAGAAACGGGAGATCTCCCTCCCTTTTACAGCGAGCGAAGACAAACAATTTCCACCCGTGCCTGAAGCTTGGGAGATAAGGGGGGATGCGGGAGATATGGTCTTAACCAAAGCCATCTGGGCTGTGCCCAGCTGGCTGCGATGGGCACGAACACACGGAGGGTGGAAGGGAAGAACTGTTTTTTGCTGAGGAAGGTGATCTCAGTCAGCTGCAGAGGAAAGCAGCTTTCTCCCCCCAGCTCACGAGTGGCTGTGGCAGTGGTGGTGGGCCCGAGGGAGGGGGACTGGGCACCGGACAGGCTGGAGAGGCAGGGCTTATGGCACAGCCTTACACCCACAGGTGAACCCCCAGGTTGCTTTTGCTTCTGGAAGTGTCGCCAAGCACAGCTCTAAGCAGTGGAAAGGCGAGCGGAGCGCACAGGGGCTTCTGTACCGCTGTGGGGTACATTCGAATGTTAAAGTGTGCCTGTAAAACGGACGTGTTCCCCACAAGGTCTGCGTCTTCGAGCCAACAGCGTGTCAAGTGCCGGATTTCTGTGAATTGGGAATCCTCCCCAGAACCAGGTAGATGAGTGGAGAAGGTGAGGAAGATGTTATTTGGTGGCAAACAGGGATGAGCCTGAGGCTGCCACGTCCCAGCAGTGCCTGACTGCTTCTGGCCAACAGCTTTTCTGGCAGTCAGAGACCTTCAGAAATTTCCAATAAAGATCAGCCCATGGTCTGTTTCGCTGTTCCATGTTCAGAGTCAGGAGGGACCAAAGTGCTTTAGAGGAAGCATAAATCCCTGCCCTGTCCCGGGGGAGTGATGGGGTGTCTTGGGGAGGAGGAAGATGCTCTGGGATGGGGGATAAGCAGTGCTTGAATTTCTCATGTGATGGACTGAGCTCTCAGGCCGTCGGTTTTGGCAGAGTCACCACAGTCTGTCACAGAGCCTGTCTGTACGGGATATTAGTCCATGCAGTTAACTCGCTTTATTTTTGTGGTGGATTTAGAATGTTAGATGAGCTCCACAGTCCCAACCCTTCAGCATTTTATTTTAAATGATTAGTGAGCTCATTAAGCTACCCCGACGTACTGACACACATTTCTTACGTGAGCCGAGTTCTTCCTTCCCCATTTACCCCGTGTCTCTGCGATGCTTCGGCAGCCCCGGTGTTTGGGGAGGTGACGTGTCCCTCTCGCTGGCTTCCCCTAGGCTGTCTACAAGGCCTGGCTGTGCTCCGAGTATTTCAACGTGACCCAACAGCAGTGCCGACACCGGATCCCATGCAAGCAATACTGCCTGGAGGTGCAGACCAGGTGCCCGTTTGTGTTACCGGACAATGACGAGCTGATCTATGGAGGTTTGCCTGGCTTCATCTGTACGGGTAAGGAGGTTCGGGGAGCGGGGCCGGGCTCCCGCACACCCCGGGGGGGATGGGGCAGGGGTGGGTGCTGATGAGCCACGCGCCAGATTTTGAAGGTTTTTTTGGGGTGGAGGGGGAAGAGGTACAGCGTGGGAACACGTGAGGCACTACCCAACTGCTGAAACACAGCCTCATCTCGGGGTGAGGTGTAAGTGGCTAAGGGGGACACGGCAACAGCCTGACAGCTTACTGCAGGAAATGAAAGCCTTACCTCTAACTGAAAGCTAAAGCAGGCCTGTAAGGGGCTTAAGGTGACGGGATTAAAGCAGGACCGGGGCATTTAACCACTCCAGGCAGTGTTTGGGAAGTCCCAAGCACGCCCCATGGCTGTGGTCTCTGGTTGCCAGTCTGTGCAGACTCCCAGTCTTGTCAAGAGCCAGTCCCGGGGGGTCTCTGGGTGTCCCAGTTCTCAGGTTCTGCCCATCCCGCGGTGTGTGGCTGGCAGGCACCGGGGCTGGCTCCCTCCGCAGCCCCATCTCCCACTGACCCCCCCTCCTCCTCCACTTTCTTCCCGCAGGGCTGCTGGAGAACCAGCTGCCCGACGAGGAGGCCAAGTGCTGCGAGGTGCAATGGGACTCCTGCGACCACCCCCCAGACAGCAACGAGAACACATCCCCCAAATCCACAGCGTCAGAGTCACTCCATTTCCACCGCCACGACCCCCACCTCCATCACCAGCGGCAGAACCACTACCACCTCTACCACCACCACCACCACCAGTACCACCAGCCCCACTCCCCATCCTTGCTGCCGGTCTCTGCAGGGTCTCGCCTCAGCAGCAGCAGGATCAGACTGTGCGTGCTGGTCCTGATGCTTCTCCACACCATGGTGTCCTTCTCAAGCGTGCACAGCGGCGGCGGGGCGGCCGGCGGAGGGCTCAGCCTGGAGGCCCTCCCCGCCTTGGAGGAGAGCGTGGCACGGGACGAGTGACGCAGAGGGGAAAGCCGACCTCCAAGAAGAACGCCAGATCTTTTTCCACTAAGGGGGGCACATGCTATTCCTCCAATGGGAGGCACAGGATTGGGGGTGACGCACACACACACACCCCCACACATACCCCCAAGAGCTGCTCGCCGCGGGGCATCCCCGTGATGAAGAGTCTCTAATGCGCACAGGGCTGCGGAACTCGGCTTTGAGAAGGGTTCGGTCAGTAGCAGCCGGGCAGCGCGGCGTGCCCGGCCTCGCCGAGGCGCCGGCGCAGGAAGGTACGGCACGGGGGCAGGGGGAGCGGAGGGGAGGGGAGGGGAGGGGAGGGGGTCCCCTCGGAAGAGATGTCCCCGTGGGACTGCCGCACATCTCCCGGCCGCCTGCCGCGAGTGCCTTGGGCGCCCGCACCTTACCCGCCAGCGACCTGCCAAGGGTTTGACAGTCAGCCCAGCCTCCGTTCCTTTTCCTCCTCGGTCTCTACATCCCGAAGGGCCAGGGAGGCGCCTCTTGGCACAGCCTGGGCCCACCCCCACCCCATCCCAGGGGAAAATCCCACCAACTCAAGGCAGAACCATCCTCGTGGAGTGCAGCGTCCTCAGCGTGACATTCCCCTCGCTGATGGGATTTGGGGGACGGGAGTGGGACGCTATTATGCTACACTGTGGTACTACTTGGGGTTTGTCTCATGACATCCCCAACCTGCTCCTCCAGCCTTGCCTCTCTGTCTCCTCTGTGCAAGGAGGCAAAGAGGGAAGGAGGAGGCACGGAGCAGAAGGGACGTCCCCAGCATTCCCGCATCCCACTTTGCCAAGTGTTCTGATGATTTGGTTTAACTTTTTTTGCTTTCTTTCCTGACTGGAGTGGCTGGTTTCCGAGAGGAGTTAGGGAGATGTGACTCCAGCAGTGCACAGGCTAAGCGAGGGAGTGGGGTGGCACATGGTAACAATTGGACGCAGGGTGTCGGAAGGCATCCTTCCATGCTTCCCAGCTACAGATTATCAACTGGGTGGCAGAAGGACTGGGCAAAAGGGCTGGAGAAATCTGGCTTGTAGGGAGAGTCTCTCACACAAAGAAGAGGCGCTAATAAAGCCCAGCTGGGGAAGAGAGTTTTTGTGAACACTTTCTATCCATGGATGCCCCCCAGATCAGAAAATTTCTAGAAGCCCAGCTGGGACAGCTGGACTCAGCCGGGCAAGTTGCTGGCTGGTGCAGCCTCGTTTGGCTCACTTGTTTGGTTTTATTTTTAAACCTGAGCTCAGTGGATCCAGGGATTCAGCCCCAAACAGACACCAGATCCCGCTTTCCTAGGAAACTCCCCAATTCTCCGCTCGCCCACCAAGAACTGTTCCCAGCATGAATACTGCGAGGTGGTGCGTGGGGGGACGGCGCTGCGCCTCCGGACCAGGCACCAGAGGCAAGGAAGTTCATTCTGGGTGTGGGTGAGGGGAAGGAGGAAGGTGCGTTTTAGCACAAGTCAGCTGCAAAATGTTCTGGTCGCGATAGGGATGTGAACCTGCTCATTGCCTACAGAGGATGTGTGATGGTCCCGCTCTTTCTAGGCCTCCTCTTGCTGGGGAGCCTACAGCAGAGCCCAGGGTGGATCGCTGCAGCCCTGCTGGGAGGCAGGGATGGAGCAGGATGGATGTCCTGCTGCATCTCAAACCAATTGCAGATCCCTGCGAGGGTCCAGGAAGTCACAGAGTTGAGGACTGTAATGAGTTCCGTGGTTTCTGGTCTGTTGAGGTGAAGCAAAACCAAGCAGAGCCCCATGAGCAAAGCTACTTCCTACCTGGCTGGAAGAAGGAAGTACCGGGCATCTCGTGGGAAGGACAGGTTTCCTGATGTTTCCAGCCCATTTCCAGACCAAAGAGGCTCTGAGAAACAGCTGAATGTTTGATTTCTGCTTTGACTTGAATCTCAGAGCTTTGGGGTGATGTTTACACATTATCAGTTGCCTGTTACCAAAGTCCCACAGATACAAAGCCTGCGAACCCGCTGTTGCTTGGTTATCGGGCTAGGAGAGGCGATGTTCATGGAAGATGCAGAGAGTGTCTCCCAAGCAGATTTCCTTGCTGTTGCTACCCAGAAAAGGTAGGATGATTCTTGTTTGGCTATTCCTCACACCATCCATATATTTTCAGTCTAGTTTACGCCAGTCTGAGGAGTCAGACGTGCAACAGTTCAACAAATAGGGATCCAACTCCTCCGTTTGCTTTGCTGCTAAGACATGAGTTGGGTAGCTGCTTTGATGACTAGCGAAAGTGTACAGCCGGACCGAGGGAGGGAGCGCGGTCCTGTGCCTGCCTCGAGACAGCCGGATCCAGTTCGCTCTTAAGGAAATTAGATTTTTCATGTACTGCCAAGAGTTAAGCTAATTCCAGGCGCCTCTCTCAGAGATAGGCTGCATCCAATCTTTGAACGGCTCATCTAGAGAGAGAAGAATAGCCCAGTGTGGTGCGTCAGCAAGTGGCCCTGAGTCACTGGCCCTATTCATTGTCTGCTGGTGTGACACTGAGCAGCGCCCGAGCCTGCACGCTCGCTCGCCTGTGTCCGGCGCAAAGGCCGTTCCCGGGGGTGCGTGCCCCTCTGCACCGCCGGCGAGCGGAGCGAGGGACCAGTGCGTCGGCATCGGCGTCAGCCTGGGCTCGGGCGGTTTCTGGGGGCACCGAGCGCGGGGGGGTTTGTGATGGGGGATTTCCACAGAGCTGCGAGAGCGAAGTCGAAGGGCCCGAGTTATCTTCAGGGACTAGGGGAGGCTTGGCAGGGTTTTGCTGAAATGACCTGGGAGCTGTGACAAATGTGTTCACCTTCCATTGCATCAGCGGATGAGCTTCCTCTCAGGAGGCAGCGAGCCCGCGCTTACATCCCGATGAATCTGAAAGCTGAGCCATTTCAAAAATGGGGTCCGTAGTGTGATTGCTGAGGGGGTGTAGTTGCGTCAGCCTCCTCAGCCGGGGAGCGAGGAGGCTTTGCAGGGCAGTTATGCTGTAGCCAGAGGAGACGCACACGTTTTCCAGGCTGTGGCTTCCCGGGAGGTGTTCACGTGAGGACAGCGTGCCGGGCTGGCAGGGCGGCTGCCGGGCTGGCAGGGGGAGCGCGCGGGGTGCGGAGCCGCGCTGGCAGGCGCGGGGCTGGGATTTTACCTAGTGTGACTGCAAGGAAAGTGCTGAGTCTTCACAGACCAAGGCTTTTGGAAGGAGTTCTTTTATTTAGCGAGTCTGGGCTGCTGTCAATAAGTTCTGTGGTTTTAGGGCACCATATGCTGTATTCAACACTTTGCCAATCTCGTTAAATGAATCCAGACTAGGCTGTTCACAGAACAGGACAGAGCAGCTGGAAGCGGTGTATGTCGCAGTCCATCATTATAAGGCCGTCGGATAAAAATCTTCTCTTTGGTCTGACATTACAACCTTAATAATCCTCTATCCATATTAGCTTTCTCTTCGCTATAAAAGAGAAAAGCCCAGAAAGGGGATGTTAACGTTGTCTTGGTTAATACCACTGACATTATTTTTATTAAAACATGGAATGAATGTGCCTTGGATAAGGAGGGAAAGGGTCTCTTTGCCCCGTGAGTGCAGGTACGCTTCAGCCCGAGCCCCTCCTGTGCCCAACACAGCCCTGGGACCAGGGGCCCTTTGCAGACCCATGCTCCCACAGCCACCTGGGACCTTTAAAAACACCAGGATTTATCCTACTGGGAATTTAAACCGAAGGGGCTTTCTCCTTTTCAGTTCAGTGATCTTATTTCTTCTCCCTAAAGAAAGCGCCACGCATGGGGATTAATATGTAAAACTCAACCTTTCCTTCAGTGGATAACCTTCTCTCTGCTCAGAGAAAAACGCCTGTTGGGAGGCAGTGATTCCTCCCTGGCAAGAGGCTTTCTCATCCCCGAGGAGCTGGGGGAGCCGAGGGGCGATGCTGTCCCCGTGGGGTGCGGATGCAGGAGCGGGCAGGGGAGTGGGCAGAGCTGCAGGAGGAAAGGTAGCCGGGTACTGCCTGGCTGGAGCGTTAGTCCTGGGTTTTGCACTTTAATGTAACTGCCAATTGTACAAATTAATTAAAAATAACTGAAGAAAAATCCCAAAGAAAGGCCCTGCTTCCTCTGGTGAAGATTAATCATTAGTTGAGCCTTTTTCTTATGAAAATACAGATCCATGGTAGCCCCAGGCAAAAGATTCCCAGGGAGAGCCCTCACCATTCGTGCTCTGAGTTAGGGAAATCGCTTTGAAAGCATCTGACAACTAAAGCAGAACATGTTGAGTAACTTGGCAACACTCAGAAAACATCTTGAAATGGTTTTTGTTCAACACATTTTGCTTTGCTTCAATAGGAGATGTCAGGGCAGTTCATTCACTGCCACTCAGGACTGCAGGCGATGCTGGGAGACGGTTCTTCTGCCTGCATTTAAAAGAAGAAAAAAAGAAAATCCCCGATATCTGCTGCTCCCAGGGCAGGATCCTCCTTAGCGATGCGATGGAGCTTCCCATTGCCGAGCTCTGCAGGTCTCTTCTGGGCAGCGAGGTCTCCCTGCACCGTGCTTGCGGGGAGGTGGGTGATTTACAGCACAGAGCGGGGCCATTTGTGCTGCCGGTGGGACAGGGTCCCTCCCCCCCGTCCTTCCTTGTGCTCAGCCTTGGGATTGAAGGCTCTGCCCTCAAAAAGTCATGCAGCAGCTTGTGATAAATTATAATATGATACCTCGCTACCACCCCAGAAAGGAATGCCTATAGAAATTGGTAGAGACAAACATACTCGGATTCTGCGAAAATCCCTATTAAAATCCATGCGATGTGCCAGCCAATTTTGCTTATTGACTTTTTGAGCTGCCCTGTGGATATAAATCTCTCTTAAATTATCCTTCGAAGGTTAGGAAGGGCAATGTCTAATGTTTAGGCAGAATGTTAATAATGATCTACTTTAGCCCATCCAACAAAGTCAGTTCTTGGGCATCCCAGCCCATCTCCCCCCAGAAGAAGCCTGTTTAAGGGCTCTTGGATCATGGCAGCTCGGGGGGGCTGCACACATCCAAGCATCATTTAGTTTTATTTCAGGAGCGACAGTTTTCAGTCATTCTTTTCGGGTGTTCTTGGTCCATATGGCTCTTCGGGTGAGTTTCCAGTCCTGTTATCACTGCAGGGAGGGGGACAGGGAAAGCCTGCTCTGCTTGTCCTCTGAGTGCCAGCCAAGGGTCAGCACCTGACTCCTGAAAATCCCAGCAGTTTACACCATTCCTGCAGCCCCAGGCTCCATCTTGAACAACAAAGCCAGCGCCAACCATGTTCCCCACGGCTGAGTGGAGAAGAGCATCCTCCCAAAAATGGGGGTCCCAAAAATGGGGCTTGCTCCATCTCACCCATGGGCTTGTCCTTGGGGGGGGGGTTGTGGGGGGGTGTCCCACACGTGGCCTTCTGCAGTGTGGCCTGTGCAGGACGTGCAGCTGCCCCTCCCCTGGACGTAGGCAGGAGGGTGCTCGTCCTGCTGGGTGTCGGGGGAGGAGGGTTTTACCCGTGCCCTGGGTCGTGCAGAGCCGCGCCGAGACCCAGTGAGGGAGGTCACCAGCACCAGCTGCTCCAGGGCAGTTTCCAAAGGGACCTTCAGTTCTGCCCTTCTGGGATGAAGGGAGCAAAGGAAATGCTGTGACCATACGCGAAGGATAAATCATTTTCAAGCAAGGACCTTAAAATAAATCACTCCTTTTAAAAGTTGTTGGGATTTTATCAAAGCTCTCAGCCCCCGCTCGCAGGACTGGGTGTTCATGGGCAGGAGACGGGCTGAGTTACAAACACCGTTCCTCCAGCCTTCTTTCCTAGGCTGTGTATCTAGTACTTTTGTTCGAAACAGGGTCAGGAGTGGTTTCCAGTCTCGTTAGCATTTTATGATGATCCTTTTTCAGCCCAGAAAGTCGACAACTTCGTTTGTTGTAAACTGAAACTCAAAAAAAAAAAAAAAAAAAAATTAGGTTTGGCTTATGAAATTTGGGTTTGGTTTTACCATTTTTAAACGTATTTGGGAACTGTGCGTGCTTGAGTTGCAAAACAAAAAGACATTTCAAGCCAGACAGTTATTTTATTTTGAAACTTGTCAAAACAAGCCATATTGATAATTATGACCAATTTTTTTCAAATTGAGAAATGTATCAAGAACAGCCCTTTCCCACAAAACCTTTCATTTTCAAAAAATAAAATGAAAAAAATCAATCACACTTTTTCTGCTCGCACAGTTGGAACTGGTGGCAGTGGATTCGGAGAGAATAGCAATTTGTAAGGAATTCCAACCAGCTCTACTTAAAATAGCATCCAGCCAGTTTCTTGGGGGCAGTAGGCTGAGCGGCTCCGTGGTGAAAGCAAACTGGAGAGCTGCCTTTCTTACCAGGACGGTTTTAGTCCAGGAAAACACACCTTGGGAACCGCATGGGCATGTTCCCCTTGGGAATTTGCTGGTGAGGTGCTGCTGCCTGGGAGGACGTGTCCCTTCTTCTCTAGGAACTCAGCCCGTGGGTGCCCCCAGCCATCCCTCTAACGAAGCTCTATTTTCTTTTCCAAGCCAAAATGAATCCAGCCTCTTCTAGCCTCTGATACATTCAGACATCACAGTTACGGGATGCCTTCAAAGCCGGAGATAATCCCATATGTTCATGGGAGTTTAAATGTGGAAGGAATTCCATGTGCTGGTCCGGCAGGGGTGCCACAAACCAAGAAAAGCAAATGCCGTGGTTCAACTGGAGCCAGTTTAAGGGGGAGACTTGAGAGAGAGCCCCAAAGAAAGCCTCCTTGCCCCCTTGCCTGTCTCCATTCAGAGCGTGGGAGATGCCCTTTCTGGCCGCTGAGGCGAGGTCTGTGCCCCTCTGCTGCCGGCGAGGGCCGGGCTGGGGGGGCCCGGGGGGCCCGGGGGGACCTTGGCAGGGTCCGGGATGGCTTTGCCTCTGTGTGTGACCAGGCTGCTTGTGACCGAACCCTTCTCAAGTGCTTGTGAAATGTTGGTGGTTACAGAGCTCAGACCTACAAAAAAAGGTCCTTTTACAGTACGTGGTGGCGAGGTGAAAAAAAAACAACATACTGCTGAAGTCAAAATATTCTTTCTAATTCCCCTGCCCGGTTTCTCTTTCTTTCCAGCTTTCTTCCTCTGCCTCCTGGACCCTCCCTCTCTGTTCCCACCCCCCTTCTGTTTCTCTTTCTCCCCTCTGTCATAAGAAAGTGACTGTGTCCTCGAGGGGACAGTTTTCTTATGCCATTTTATACACTGTGCTTCATGTTTAGAACTTTTTTGCACTAGTTCCTATTACATTTATTTTCCAAAATGGTTTGACAGAAAACAAACAAAAAAAAACAACAAAAACACAAAACCATGCTATAATTCAGTTGTATTAAAAATATTATCCTACTACTCTCTGTGTTCAATAGTCTCTGTACCTGTAATGCTTTCAGTTCTGTTGTATTTTGGGGCAGAGGTTTTCTCCGCTCCTTGTTTAACCCAGTAAAGAAATAAAATGTTAAGAATTGATGATAACTTCCTCCTCCCTTTCTCTGCGGTTTAATTTGGGCCGTGTAGGTCCCGGCGTGCTGCTCGCCGTCCAGGGAGACGTGGTGGGACAGGCTGCCAGCCCCTGCTCCCCACCAGATCCTGCCCTGCAAACTCGGTCTGTCTGTCCTACGGGTATTTTTTTCCTGCAAAATCCAATCTCAAATGGAGGACAGAAGAGGCAGAATGGAGGGACAATAACCCTGCCTTACTGAATTTGATTTCGTAACCTTTCTTTATATTCTTTTGTTTCTTGCCTTCACATTTCTTGCCATGGGGCTCACCTCAGAACAATAGGGGCAAAGACTGTCACCAAGAGATTCATCAGAGAATAATGACTAAACCAGGGTATCCAAATTTTGCCCAGCTGAAGTCCACACCCACATATAATCTGGAATTAATTCATCTGGACAACAGATCTCGGCATGCAACAGAGCTAGGACACTCCGCTCCAAATTGAATGCTGCATGCTAGGCTGCAAAAGGCCATGTAATAAAACTCTGAAGTTACACTTTGGCCATTTCTACCCAGAGCTGAAAATTCGTCGTTTGAAAAGAAGATGAGGAAAAGAGAGAAAAGAAAGGAATTAAATTGGATGGAGATAGAAATTTTTTTTTTTTTTTTTTTTTTTTAAAAAAGCAGATTGGTGCAGAAGGCAAATACGAGGGGGAGGGCTGGGATGCCTCAGCTCCACTGTGAAACCAGGGCGGAGAAGTGGTGGTTGCAGGAGGGGAGACATGGAGAGCACGGCCAGGAGTGGGGTGTCTGGTATGTAGCCGCATGAGGGGCTGGGTGGGTAAATAATTAGCAGGATATATCACAGCTAGAACTGAAGAAGCATTTCCTGGCCTCTCACAAGGCTTTTGTTTCCCTCTGCCTAAACTAAATTACCACTACAAGAGACGGGTTTCCTTTTTGGCTCGGAGATAAAATAAATTTCATATATATATATATATATATATATTCACCAGAGTTCCTCAAACAGAGGAGCTGGCCCAGGAGCAGGAGGCTGTGCTGGAAGGGTTGTGCTCAGGTGTGGAGCTGGGGCTGCTGGTGCCTGGCTGGGCTGAGCACCGTCGCCCCACTGCTGCACTGTCCCTTTCCTCTCCCTTTGCCGGCAGGGATGCCTTTGGCTCTTCTCTTTGCCCCACGTGGAGCCAGAATCCACATTCAGCCCTTCAGCTTCAAAATCCAAAGAATACCAGGGCTGCCTGTGCCTGCCAGCAGCCTGCGCACCCTTTTACATGTGGACACACATCTCTTTCCTGGCCATCAATGGTAGCAGATGGATTGGTACCTGATTTTCATTTCCACCGTGCTTTATACGGGGTTTCCACTAGCCGGGTAGAAGATGGCACCACATCTGCTTTCAGAGGGAGCCATTTCATTGATACGATCACCTGGTTGTCTTTTTGCTCACAAAACCTAGAGGCAGGAGGTTTGGGATACCGGGACAGGCAATTGAGAGGGTCACGGCACTACTCCCAGTTTGGGAAACTAGAGATCAACATCATCCTGGCCCGTTTCTAACTGAAACCATGGTGCCCACTTGCTTCTTGTCACATTAAGTCATCTACAACCTTTTACAAGGTCTCCATCAGCAATAACTGTGTGAATTCCCACCAAATTTCTCAGGTAACCTTCGCAGCTGTGGTAGGGAAGTGAGGAGACAGTGTAGATGCCATACAGGAGCAATGTCGATGTAAATCAGGGACAGTGGGGTCCTTTGTTCTAAAATCCATCTGTCCTGGTTTGTTCTAGCCTATTGTTTTGATTTTCAGAGAGTACCATGTTCTGGTGCTGCTGAAGTGTAAAAATAAGGCAAAGTCAAGATTGTTTCCAGGACAAAGTGTGAACATGAACTTCTAATGTAGAAGCACGATGGCCAGCTAACAGAAACAGGGAGGGTGTCTTATTATTTGTATGGTGGGGATAATGCTTAGCCCCAGAGACAAACAGAAAGGCATACAGCAGAGGCTATATCCAGAATAGCACTCAGGTGTCTCAGGTTAGCATATATCCTGCTGAAGGCACTTAAATGCAACTCACCCATTTCCTAATATCTGCAGCCCTCCTGCCTGCCCCCACCCCCCCCATTTGTTTTTTAACAGCCTTTCAGGAGTGGTTCCCCATGGGGATCTCCTGAGCTGTCTCCGTTTGAGAAGCTCTGGGCTTCAGCCAGGGTCTAGAAACTACATACGAGACTCTTGCAAATGGTTTGTGTTGTTAGATACTCTCAGGATACAGCAAGCACCTGGTTTCTCAGGGAATGCGTTTGGGATCCCTTTTTTCCTTGGGGAGCACTGCTGGCAGGACAGGTCCCAGCCAGCCCTGTGCCATCGTCCGTTCCCACCAACCTCCTGCTGCCGTGATGAGAAAGCACCGGTTGGCGTCCCTGCCGTGTTTGGCACGGGGTAGGTGGTAGCTGTTCACTACAAAGCCTTTCAAAATAAACCTGCTGCTGGAGGCTCAGGGGTTGAGGCCCTGGCCTGGGAGGGGGAGCGCAGCTGAAGGGTGGGAGATGTAGCTTGAGCTCTGCTGGGCTGGGCTCAGGGTGCGGGCGGGCGGTTAGGGAAGCCCTACAAGAGCAGGGCAGTCATACAGCAGTGCTGCTCCTGAAATATCCATGCATTGACATGTAATCAATGGGATTTCTGAGCCAAATACAAGGCATTTCCTGGTATCTCTTTATGTGACAGCTTTGGATTGATGTTTAACTTCTGAATTTGTGTAGCTGTATTCTTGGACCCAGCTACTCCCCTGGTATCCCTCCTCCTGTGGCCCTAATGGCTGGAGTGCCATGCTGCATGCTCGAGAAGCTATTTGTTCTTGGCAGCTCCTTTCGATGCCCCTACGTCTTGTCATCTGAGACACCCCATCCCTCACCCGTGCTCTCCAGGCCTCTCATGGTTTACCAAACCCCAAGCATCTTTCCTCTCAGTCTCTGCCTTTCCAGGAAGAGGGGTACTGTGAGTGTGCCCGTCTCCCTGCCTCCAGGATGCCCTGAAAGAGGCATCTGTTGGGGCTTGGCTGCTGTATAGAAAGACCTCAAGATTTATGGGACTGGAGAAGGGGACAAGAAGGCACATGACTGCTCAGCCTGGGTAATAGCGATGCTGTTCCTGAGCTTGCAGTAAGCATTGGGCACAGTGTAGGGAAGGATCTCAGTGGCCACATGGTGCCTGAACTGTTGCAGCAGCTGAAAATCTGCCCAGGAACATGCCGGTTCCCAGGGATTTTATTAGAAGGGATTGGAAGTTGATGCAAGTTAAGTGGATATAAATTTTCATGCCTATAGGCCCATGGACTTCAAAGCTGGAAGGCGGCCTGAAGTGAGAGAGAAATTTCTCAGCTGTAAATTTGCCTTGTGACTCCATAAAATCTGAAATGGGCAGCATAAAAAAATTTCTGCTGGAAATAACAAGGAAAAGGCTGTACCCCTGAGAAAACAATAAAAAGTGCTGCAGACCCAAATCAAACTCCATGGCTTGGAAATGCTTTGAGGTGCAAGATGGGACTCTCCAGACACTGAAGTCATGGGTGGGGTCTAGATTTCTAACATCATCTCTTCTGGATGTGAACTAGGAGTTCCCTTTGTTTCTATATTTATTTATATTGTTTAATAGATCATACACAAGGTTGTGCATTCTGGTTTATCAAAAAAAGAAAAAAGTATCCTTCTCAAGCATGTCCATCTAGAAAACATATTAACTGTGTAATTATATTTTGGAACAATTTCAGAGCTCTTCAAGCTTCTCTGTCTTCCCTGGGCACGGGAGTACTCGCGACTCATGAAAATCAGGCAGCTTATTACCTCAGATCTAAAAATGTGCTTGAGGGCCTTGTTTTTCACACCAGCATTTGAAGATGGGAGACAGAGAATCCTGAAGAGAGAGCCTGTGTTTTATTGTCCTTCCTACTCTTCACTGTAAGAATGCAGTTTCAGGCTGTGATTTCTACGTACCAGGAAGATCAATGAAGTTTCCAGGCCTTTCAAAGTCTGTGTGTTCTGGACACATTCAAATTGGAGCACCCCAATGTTGGTGAGGAGTTCTTCATTTATTTTTATGGGATCAAACAGGTATTTTTTTTGTGGGTATATGGATTTTGTGACTGGAAAGTTAGTGTGATGCCACCTCAGAAAACTGCTGAAAATTTTGTAGTTAAGAGTTGAAGAAATTATTAATGATTGTAATTTTCCACATTTTTTGCCTAGAGGACTCCTTTGTTTTCTTCTTTTTGTCTAAAATTTGTGTTAAGTAAGAGCTCACAATTTAATTTTCGTTAGCAACCCCCTTGCCATAGCGGAGCAGGGTTTGCCTGGATGGGCTATAGAAGGTGGGTTTACATGGCTTTATATGTTTAGATGCTATGAGCCAGATGGAGTTTAATGTGTGACTTCTTTCTCTCTTGCTCTGTTTTTCCTGGTGTCCACTTTGGATCATGGCCTTGACACTGCAAGATGGTTTGTGTCATTCTGTTAGATCTATTTTAGTAACTGAGGAATATCAAGGTCATATTTATGTGCTTCTTCCACTGAAAAAAATCACTGTCTTTATTAATTCAGCTTTAATTGTATTAAAGTGAAGCCTCTTGATGGGAAAGGGCTGGGAAGGGGTGTTTTTTCTGCCTTCACATGAAAGGACTTGAAGTTCCTTTCCTTTCCTTCATCTATATTCATGTAGATGCATATTTTAAGGAGAGGGTCAGGCACAGAATTAGGTGGTGTTGCTGGTGCCACGTGGGGCTGGTATGATTGTCCTCTCTCCTGAGCTTGCCCTGAGCCAGAAGTTTACCCCAAAACCCTGTTAATTAAGTCACATCAGATGAATCTATAGGTTCTGGTATTCTGAAGAAGAAAAAAAAAAAAAAAAAAAAAAAAAAAAAGAGAGAGAGAGAAAAATTTCAAAAGCCTGACAGTAAAGCACGGGAGTGGCCTTGATCATTGTGTTCCCCGCCTACAGAAGGGCAGATCCCCAGCTGCCAAG